TTGGATTGCCGGAGGATATTAGGGAGCATGGTAAATTTTTTGACAATTTTTATTTTCGTGCGAAAAAAAATAAAAAAAATTCCAAAATTGAAGGCTAATATCCATGCGTTTTGAGATATTTTTTAGGTTTCGGGGCCCGGTGTCGAAAAGCTTTGAGATTTTAAGGGATGTATCCCGGGGTCATATAATACTGTTTAAACCATAAATTATCATTATATGTTGTCATAAATGTTTGTGGTAGGCTTGAGTTAATGAAATCGGTGCAAGTTGTAAACCGGTAAATTCGCCATTTAAAGGCAAATTGGATAGTTCCACCGACCTAATTGGACTTCCAGATTGTATTAGGGACCGTGGTAAATATTTCGACAATTTTTATTTGCGGGCGAAGAAAAGTAAAAAAATTTCAAAATTGAAGGTTAATATCCACGCTTTTTGAGAAATTTTGGATGTTTCGAGGCCTGGTGTCGAAAAGTCTTTAGATTTTAAAGGATTCATCTTGAGGTCATATAATGCTGTATGAAAACATATATGATCATTATATGTTGTCATAAATGTTTGTGGTAGGCTTGAGTTAATTAAATCGGCGCAAGTTGTACACCGGTAAATTGGCCGTTTAAAGCCAAATTGGATGGTTCCACCCACTCAATTGGACTCCCGGAGGGTATTAGAGACCATGGTAAACATTTTGGCAATTTTTATTTACGGGCGAAAAAAGTCATAAAATTCAAAAATTGAAGGCTATTATTCACGCTTTTTGAGAATTTTTGGAGTCATTGGGGCCCGGTGTCGAAAAGTATTTAAATTCTAGAAATACATGTCGGGGTTATATAATGTCATTTGGAACCATATATGATCATTATTTGTTGTCATAAATGTTCGTGGTAGGCTTGAGTTGATGAAATCGGTGTAAATTGTAAACCGGTAAATTGGTCATTTAAAGGAACTTGGATGGTTCCATCCACCCAATTGGATTCCTGGAAGGTATTTGGGACCAAGGTACGTAAATATTTCTGAAATTTTTATACCCGGGCGAAAAAAGTAAAAAAATTCCAAAATTAAAGGCTAATATCCATGCTTTTTGAGAAATTTCGAATGTTTTGGGGCCCAGTGTCGAAAAGCATTGAGATTTTAGGGGATACATCTCGGGGTCATATAATGCCGTTTGGATCTATATATGATCATTATATGGTGTCATAAATGTTCGTGGTAAGCTTGAGTTAATGAAACCGATGCACGTTTTGAACTGGTAAATTGGTCGTTTAAAGGCAAATTGGATGGTTCCACCCAGCCAATTGGACTCCCGGAGGGTATTAGAGACCATGGTAAACATTTTGGCAATTTTTATTTACGAGTGAAAAAAAGTAAAAAAATTTACAAAATTGAAGGCTAATATCCACGTTTTTTGAGAAATTTTGTAGGTTTCGGGGCCTGGTATCGAAAGTCTTGAGATTTTAGGGAATCTATCTCAGGGTCATGTAATGTCGTTTGGAACCATTTATGATCATTATTTGTTGTCATAAATGTTGGTGGTATGCTTGAGTTAATGAAATCAGTGCAAGTTGTAAACTGGTAAAATGGCTGTTTAGAGGCAAATTGGTGATTCCACTCACCCAATTGGATTATCGGAGGGTATTAGGGACCATGGTAAACTTTTCGACAATTTTTATTTTCGTGCGAAAAAAAATAAAAAAATTCAAAATTGAAGGCTAATATCCATGCGTTTTGAGAATTTTTTTAGGTTTCGGGTCCCGGTGTCGAAAAACTTTGAGATTTTAAGGGATGTATCCCGGGGTCATATAATACTGTTTTAAACCATAAATGATCATTATATGTTGTCATAAATGTTTGTGGTAGACTTGAGTTAATGAAATCGGTGCAAGTTGTAAACCGGTAAATTCGCCATTTAAAGGCAAATTGGATAGTTCCACCGACCTAATTGGAATCCCAGATTGTATTAGGGACCGTGGTAAATATTTCGGAAATTTTTATTTCCGGGCGAAGAAAAAGTTAAAAAATTCCAAAATTGAAGGTTAATATCCATGCTTTTTGAGAAATTTTGGATGTTTCGAGGCCCGGTGTCGAAAAGCCTTTAGATTTTAAGGGATTCATCTTGAGGTCATATAATGCCGTATGGAACCATATATGATCATTATATGTTGTCATAAATGTTTGTGGTAGGCTTGAGTTAATTAAATCGGCGCAAGTTGTACACCGGTAAATTGGCCGTTTAAAGCCAAATTGGATGGTTCCACCCACTCAATTGGACTCCCGGAGGGTATTAGAGACCATGATAAATATTTCAGCAATTTTTATTTACGGGCGAAAAAAGCCATAAAATTCAAAAATTGAAGGCTATTACTCACGCTTTTTGAGAATTTTTGGAGTCATTGTGTCGAAAAGTCTTGAAATTCTAGGGAATACATGTCGGGGTCATATAATGTCGTTTGGAACCATATATGATCATTATTTGTTGTCATAAATGTTCGTGGTAGGCTTGAGTTGATGAAATCGGTGTAAGTTGTAAACCGGTAAATTGGTCGTTTAAAGGAACTTGGATGGTTCCACCCACCTAATTGGATTCCGAGGCGGTATTTGGGACCATGGTAAACATTTTGACAATTTTTATACACGGGTAAAAAAAAGTCAAAAAATTCCAAAATTGAAGGCTAATATCCACGCTTTTTGAGAAATTTCGAATGTTTTGGAGCTTAGTGTCGAAAAGCATTGAGATTTTAGGGGATATATCTCTGAGTCCTATAATGCCGTTTGGATTGATATATGATCATTATATGTTGTCATAAATGTTCGTGGTAAGCTTGAGTTAATGAAACCTATGCACGTTGTGAACCGATAAATTGGTCGTTTAAAGGCAAATTGGATGGTTCCACCCAGCCAATTGGACTCCCAGAGGGTATTAGAGACCATGGTAAACATTTTGGCAATTTTTATTTACGAGTGAAAAAAGTAAAAAATTTCCAAAATTGAAGGTAATATCCACGTTTTTTGAGAAATTTTGTAAGGTTCGGGGCCCGGTATCGAAAAGTCTTGAGATTTTAGGGAATCTATCTCAGGGTCACGTAATGTCGTTTGGAACCATTTATGATCATTATTTGTTGTCATAAATGTTGGTGGTATGCTTGAGTTAATGAAATCGGTGCAAGTTGTAAACTGGTAAAATGGTCGTTTAGAGGCAAATTGGTGATTCCACCCACCCAATTAGATTACCGGAGGGTATTAGGGACCATGGTAAACTTTTCGACAATTTTTATTTTTGTGCGTAAAAAAAATAAAAAATTTCCAAAATTGAAGGCTAATATCCATGCGTTTTGAGAAATTTTTTAGGTTTCGGGGCCCGATGTCGAAAAGCTTTGAGATTTTAAGGGATGTATCCCGGGGTCATATAATACTGTTTTAAACCATAAATGATCATTATATGTTGTCATAAATTTTTGTGGTAGGCTTGAGTTAATGAAATCGGTGCAAGTTGTAAACCGGTAAATTCGCCATTTAAAGGCAAATTGGATAGTTCCACCGACCTAATTGGACTTCCAGATTGTATTAGGGACCGTGGTAAATATTTCGACAATTTTTATTTGCGGGCGAAGAAAAGTAAAAAAATTTCAAAATTGAAGGTTAATATCCACGCTTTTTGAGAAATTTTGGATGTTTCGAGGCCTGGTGTCGAAAAGTCTTTAGATTTTAAAGGATTCATCTTGAGGTCATATAATGCCGTATGAAAACATATATGATCATTATATGTTGTCATAAATGTTTGTGGTAGGCTTGAGTTAATTAAATCGGCGCAAGTTGTACACTGGTAAATTGGCCGTTTAAAGCCAAATTGGATGGTTCCACCCACTCAATTGGACTCCCGGAGGGTATTAGAGACCATGGTAAACATTTTGGCAATTTTTATTTACGGGCGAAAAAAGTCATAAAATTCAAAAATTGAAGGCTATTATTCACGCTTTTTGAGAATTTTTGGAGTCATTGGGGCCCGGTGTCGAAAAGTATTGAAATTCTAGGGAATACATGTTGGGGTTATATAATGTCGTTTGGAACCATATATGATCATTATTTGTTCGTGGTAGGCTTGAGTTGATGAAATCGGTGTAAGTTGTAAACCGGTAAATTGGTCGTTTAAAGAAACTTGGATGGTTCCACCCACCCAATTGGATTCCCGGGCGGTATTTGGGACCATGGTAAACATTTCGGCAATTTTTATACCCGGGCGAAAAAAGTAAAAAAATTCCAAAATTGAGGGCTAATATCCAGGCTTTTTGAGAAATTTCGAATGTTTTGGGGCCTAGTGTCGAAAAGCATTGAGATTTTAGGGGATACATCTCGGGGTCATATAATGCCGTTTGGATCTATATATGATCATTATATGGTGTCATAAATGTTCGTGGTAAGCTTGATTTAATGAAACCGATGCACGTTGTGAACCGGTAAATTGGTCGTTTAAAGGCAAATTGGATGGTTCCACCCAGCCAATTGGACTCCCGGAGGGTATTAGAGACCATTGTAAACATTTTGGCAATTTTTATTTATGAGTGAAAAAAAGTAAAAAAATCTCCAAAATTAAACGATAATAGTCACGTTTTTTGAGAAATTTTGAAGGTTTCGGGCTTATAAAGTACGCTCAGTTCTCAAAAAAAATACAACTAGTTGTACAGCAAACGATATTGATATTCTTGATTTTAGCCTAAAGCTTCTTTATACATAGTACAAGTGGGCTAATGTGCACTTTTCATTGGGCTGATTTTACGATTTACGGCTATTTTTAACTGACAATCCATTACACAAACATCAAATAACAATAACTTCGTAAAACTTTTTCTTGACTTGAAGGGGCCTATTACCGTCTATAGGATTTGAACTGTTGAACATCACATATTACCAATATAACTTCGTATTTTCAGGCTCGATTGGGTTAGACAAGAATCACAACATATTATAATACATGCATGAACAACCAATCAACTTTTAAGAAGTCTAATTTTTGTATAGATTTTATTTCTAGTTCGACAATCTTTAAATGACAAAGGGAGTATGAATGTTTAAAAATAATATTGTATCAAAGTCATAAAGCATGTAATAACGACCAGATTGTGCCATGTGTGGGGCCCAAACGGCTCGTTTTAAAGTTGATTACATAGCCATGAAGCACATATGATATCGGTTTATACTATAGTCTCCAAATCACTCCTCTTGTCCCTAACTTCAATTGCCTTCCTCCCGTTGCACTGGCTTCCATACCGAAACAACGCTTCTACAAAAGTACAAGACATAAGATTAATGAAGGTACTAGATTAATAAGCTTACATACTTGTATAATGCAAAACAAAAGTATATAATAAACGAAAACTATATATAGTTATGGAGGTAATAGTTACCTAGCCCTTGATCTTGGTTCTCCTTGAATGACACCCAAATTCCTCGGAGGATTAGCCGTTTGAGCATTATAAGGAGGGTGAAGTGGCCATGACATTGGTACGACGGAGTTCCTATTAAAAAAAATTGAGTGTATATTAAGGTGTTTATAAAAAAACTGTCGATACCTTTAATCTGAAACAAGTGAAGTATTTCATGGTCGTTTATCTAAGAAAATAGAGAGTTTAAGGCGTACCCTTCAAAAGACTTGTACTCGCAACAGTGGATAAAGTCCACGTTGCATCTCCGAATCATGGCACTAAGATTCTTAGCAAGATTAGGCATCTTCGAACCTGGTAAAATGTCCCAAACCTTGATTACTTGTTTGTAGCAAGTTTCTTCCTTAACAATGTCGACGGTCCAAGCAAGAATAAGATTCTCATCAATCTTGTATAGCTTTAACAATGCAAGAGACACGGGATCAGCAATGGTAATCTTGACCGGTTTCTCGATCATGGGAGATTGACGCCAACCATTAGCAATCTTTTGCAGCACTTGCCTCGTTCGAATTTGAGCTTTAATATTTGTGATCGATATAGAGTTTCTAAACTCATTGCTAAAGGTAATCTGCATACAGATCGAGGTTCATCAATATTAACAATTAACATGATATATAAATCCTTGATTTATATAGTATAGACTATTAATGATGAAACTAATTATGTTACACACCTTCCATTTTGCTTTATCAAGTGTTAGGTACCCAAAAAAGTCGTTCTTGATAAGTTCTATGTCATCATATGCTTCATAGAAACACCCTCGAGTTTTGGCATCGTGTACAAGGCTCTTCCAGATCGATCCACTGTTGCCTAAAGTACTCGCGCTGCCAACTATCCATAGACAATACCTACAATACACCAGGGTGACAAAAAAAGTACTTATAAGTTCAATTCACGACTAAAATAAGTTACATTAAGTTCAGCTAACGGACTGTTTGGTGAAAAGAACGAAGGTAGAAAAGTTAGATAATACCTTGCCCTGGTAAGAGCAACATTTGTTCTCTGACAATTCGAAAGGAACCCAACTGATCCATTTCCATTGCTTCGAACAGTTGAGATTATTATGATATCCTCCTCACCACCTTGGAATCCATCGATAGATCGAATGTTGATGCAAAACTTTTCCTTATGTTTGGTATATTTATTCTCAAATTTTTCTTGAAGCAAACCTACTTGACCCTTGTAAGGTGAAATTACTCCTACACTCACCTTCTGCTTTGTGACACAGTAATAATCTGCATACATTTAGTGGCAGATCAAAATAAAATCTTAGATATTATGTATATATGCACATTAGAGTCTAATATAATTTGATGTGTATACCCTTAAAAACACTTGATCAAACTCATAATGTAAGCTAATAAGTCATCAATATCAACTATGCATAGTTACAAGTAGCGAAAATTGATCAATCCTTACCTCTAAAGAGCTTAGCAATAATCCGAACAACAACAGCTGCTTCTTCAAAATTTCTAGGACTAGGTCCTCTGTTGAAGTTCTCCATTGTATTAGGCACATTGATGAACGAATAAGATCCATACATGTCCCCCTTAAGATAATTCTTAACATAGCTTCTTCCTGTCACGCTTGGTTCATCGACAATATTGTTATTATAAAACTGTTCATTTGGGAACAAGCTTATGGAAGGATGCATCCTATACTGAATGTTGAGAAGGCGCTTTGCTTTGCCTAACCATGATAGCCGTTGAAACAAACTTCTTCCAAAGTTATTTCTTTCCAACATCTAAGAAAGTACAAAATTAAAAAATCTTGGCAGTTTACAAAAGAAAAAACAGAGGAAATTCTGAAGGAATGATATAGAAATGATGTATTAGGTAGCTAACCTTGCTCCGGACCATGGCTGGGAGCTGTCGATCATCACCTACTAGAATAGCATTTTTCAGACCAGGGATTTGTAATGGAATCGCAGACTCGCATTCTTTGAGCTGTGCAGCTTCATCTATGATTACCATATCGACAAAAGAAGACACTTTGATGGCGCCTGAAGCAGTGCAAAATAGTAAACGAGCATTATCCAAGCAAAATTCTCTTGTGTTTCCATCAATCCTAGGCACAGGATAATGTTCTTGAAGCATTTTCAATATTGCTAGGATTTCTTCCCTCTTCATCATAATTAGTTCAGAGAATTGATCAACATTACAATGTTTTGCCTTTTCGAGGGTCATTTGAAGCAGATCAACAAGCTTAATCATCTCCTTTGCCACAAATAGTGGTAAACATGATGTTGGCATGTGAGTATAGAGAATCTCCGCACAAAACATCAAACGGTTAGCTAAAGTACTGAATGTTTTCCTCATAAACTCCTCAAAAGTCATACACAATTCGACTTCTTCATCATCTTTTGCTTCACCATCTTCTTCTGAATGCTTGTTTCCTTGACCGCCAGTCCTTAATCCTTTCTTATTCTTCACTACATTTTCTCTCACGGACTGAACGATAACTCTCTTCCATACCTTAGTAATATTCATTCTTTCTTCTTTCAGTTTTATGGCCTTGGTTACTTCCACAATGTCACCATCACTTTCATCATCAGAACTATAATAACTCTCAGATTTCTTGTCAGTGTCAGACTTTCTGTTCTGTTCCAAGTAAGCCTCATACTGTACTTGGGGGTTTTCGAGTAAAGATATCAGTGAATTCAGACTCCCCTTCCATCCTGCTAACGGTACCAGACATTGGTCAAGTAATTTCACCCGGTATTTAAGAAATACGTCTACAAGCTCATAATGATCATGAATTTTCATCCTTTCATCATTTCCAAACAGGACTATATCTCCCAGGCCATAACTTTCATATTCGAGTGACTCTATGACTAGATTTACAAGCTTTTTCGCGACTTGGATCACTGCTATGTTGGTTGGAGCACAAGTTAGTGTTGTGCAAAACTTCAGCTTAAGTAGTACAAAAAGCAATGAAGCAACTGTCTTGGTCTTCCCTGTCCCCGGCGGCCCCCAAATCAGCTTCACATTGTACTCCTGGTGTGGGCATTTTGCCAAGCAAACACTGCTCAAAATAGCTTCTGTCTGAGACTCGTTTAGTCCAAATGATCCAATAAGGCCGGAAACTACTGATCCTTGAACATTTAAGATTTTTTCGGGGATGCAGATAGAACAATCATCATCTGCCTGTTAGTATCAGATAAATATGATGAAAAATGAATTAGACTTCAAAAACTATCCTGTTTACTTTGCCTTGCAAAAATGTATCAGTTTGGTTGTTTAGATTAGATTTCCTCAAAAAATCAATTTAGATCAGTAAATAAAAACTATAATCGCGTCTGAAAACTCTAGAAAAGCAGCAAAAATCTGTTTACATCAGTTTTATGTGAAGAGAACAATAGTTCAAGAAAACAAGATATAATAAGGTTACTTACTGAAGAGTTGTGTTGCAGAACACTTTTAATAAGACCCAAATTTTTGCTTTGAGGATCAGGATTTAGTGCCTTCCATATTCTCAAATTGGTTGTAATGTTCAGCAAGTAGGTAACAAATAGCCTCCCTTGTTTCTTCATAAGTAACTCGAGATCAATCTTCTCTGATGATAATATCTCGATATTATTTGCATCTTCTGTTGACATTGAGACATAAGCAAAATGAAATGACCTATCAGGTTTGAGTAAATCTTCTATGCTTCTAGGCCTTCGAGTTGTCACAGCAAAAATGTCACCAGACTCTGGCACGTAATGTTCGTCTTGGCTAACATCCTCACTTATCCTTTTGGTCGAAACTTCATAGTATAAGTCTGTAGGAAGCTTATAGGACGCAGAAAGCCAAACACCGGAGATCTCACAAACAGGAGCATGACTAATTGAAACCAAACCGGAACAGTATTCTGCGCGAGTCTCCTCTATAAGAGGCAACTTGAATGAGTTGAAGTAATGAGCAATTGATGAGAATTTGTCAGGTATCTGACGTACCTGCTTAGCCAAGAAAAATCATTTCAAGCATAAATTTACTGGCTTAGTTCTGCATTAAATTGGCTAAACTCCCATGTACATATCAAATAAAGCTTGTGACTAAATGACTCTTCAATGCTTAAATTGTATAGTAATTGATGACAATTTCCTACGAACTAAACAGATGTTTAAGCATGCTTAAATCATCATAGAACCAATTTGGGTTTAAGCCCGTACAATCAAATGTAGAGCAACTAGGATATTGTGTGACAATAATGTACCTCTAAGGCTAAGGTGAAAATTCTATAGGACGACAATTAGACCAACTTCCATTAAGAATGATACGTGAAATCTAGAAGAAGCTAAGCCATGGCAACCGAGAAGTTGAAATTGAAGCGGGAAAATATAGATGGTGTTCATCATCACATGGAAAACTTGGTAAGTTCACCTTAATCTCTCCTCTGTTTTCCCGCTTCCTAAAAGTTTGTACGAGTACATTTCAAATGATGCAATAATAAGGAACGGAGGGAGTATGTCAGTATGGCCTACATTATGTTTTATACGAAGTAGTATTACGTATTAAGCATGTTGCCTCATCTTAACTCAATCACAAGGTGCGCGCAACCATAAAACAATTATGTAAAACATATGGTAGATGACCAGAAAAATATGAATATTGAATATACATCTATGATTAAAAAAAAGGTACAGTTTATTAAAAAAAATGAACATTGTACCTTGTATGCATAGTGATTTTCGTTAAGAACATTTCTGATAGTCCATGAAAATACCAAGTCTAAAAGATATGGATTATTCCCTCCAACTCCTTCTTCCTTCTTTCCAACGCGGACCTTCATCATTTTCGACTTTCGATTATCGTCAACTGCGAAAATTTACATCAAAAACTAACTTAAACTTGTAAAAAATCAGTATATCTCTTCCTCTTTCTTTTCTTGGAGGTTATTCATTTTAATCTTTGATTTTAAAAAACTCAAATAGAAAGCAACTTTATTTTGATGATTCAAATAAATGTTAAGAAATTCTGATTCTCCAATATAAGGTTCTTTACTTGAATGACTTAACATAGACTTGGTTGTTAGTACAAGTTGCTTTTATAATTAGTTGTTTTCATGGTCACCTTTCCCTGTTGCCTGTGATGTTCATAATCAGTGTAATATTGCTTTAACTAACTTGAATTCTATGTGTCGGCATAATAGGGTCCCATGTTTTTTTCTTCCAAAATTTACATTTTCATTATACATAAATAAAATTGGCATCAACATGCAATTCAAACTACAATTTGGGGTGCAACACATACAATAGCACCAATAATAAATTGGGTGCAACGGAACCACACACCATGAGTTGAACGTCAAAACATCATCAACTAAAAGATACATTGCGTAACGCCAACTTAAGATGAGTATCCTAAGAAATACAAAGTTTTGAGTTAAATCCTTAAAAATATTTAACAATTTTCTTATTCTAATCTACAACTTCAATGAATAATATAATCGTTAAAAATCATATTCTCATTTCAATAGTAACATTAAAATTGTACGGATAGCTATAAGCCTATAATAGTAGTAATAGATCAACAATTTATTGTGACAACCAAGTCTTTTAATAATCTAAATAATGTATATTTTTGGTCATTTGTGCTAGTTTCGTACCACTTTCCAGTTTCCACCCATCATTATATTGTTTGTAGAACCTTGACTATTGCTATAGAGTAATAGGCTTTTCTTTAATTGGTGTTATGAGGGATTAATTTTCTATTGCAATCATATCTTTTAGTAGTTGTGGTTGTTAGTATAATGGTAGATCTTATTATGTCATCTTAGCTCCTTGATATTCATCATCATTCTTGACTAAAACTAGGGAGCATAGTAGTCTTAAAGAATGTTAAGATGTACCTTTCTCTAGTACCTATAGATTGTCACAAAAGTATTACTTTTGTAATCAATAGGTCCATATTATATAGATTGCAATATTATTTGTTGGTAAGGCCATCAATAATAACAATTAAATATATACACACTCTTTATTCCTACAAGTTTGACTCATTTGATTTTTGTATGATTTGTAAGAGTAACAATTTTTTTTCCTCTTATTTCTTTACCATTAATATATTTGACTATTTATATGTGAAAATTATAATCGTAAAAAATTCAAAGTATAAAATGTGTCTTACTTATTGACTAGGACCATGAAAGACCATTGCATGGAAAAGCTAATATGGTTTTATTACTTTGTGCATTGGCTGCTAACTTGCTAAGAAAATGAATTTTAATCCATCTATAACACTCTTAAATCAGGAGGTACTAAGATTAAATCCCTTTAAACAATAAATTGATAGTTTACTTAGCATTTTTCCTAATCACACAATAATAGGATTAAATCCCATTCACCAATATATTAATATTGTACCAAGTTAAGTTGTTTGAACACTTCATTTCACCACTGAAGTCGTGTATCAGATCATTGACATCCTGACATGGGTATTGATAATTGAAAGCTTTAGGCACTTAATTAACAACCAAATACGGTAGGGTTTGTTTTTTTTTTTTTTTTTTTTTTTAGAGACTAAAAATGGTAGATTTTATAAAATACTCCATATAACATTTAGACACGTATTTATATCCATTATTGTTCCCATGTCACGTTAATATGGGTGCTATTGTGCTATGATATTTAAGTAAGTAAGACTTTGTCCTCCTCATTTTAAAAAATTATACGGAGTATTACGTATTTGGTAAAAATAAATTAAGTTCAATAAAAATTATTGCCTTTTGTTTTCTATTTTCCAAAAATGGTTTATAATTTTATGTCGTTTGTTTACAATTTCTTCACGATTCTAATAATTTTGACTACGGAGTACTTTTTATTCTTTTTGTTAAATGTACCATATAACATTAATTAAAAAACTATAGAATAAATAAATAGTGATATCGAATGAGCACTTAATTTTAGCAAATATAATTAAATTTCCGTAAAAATAATTTGCATTCAATAAAAACGAGGTGAAGATATCAAGTGCAAACTTTTAGGGTCCAACATTTTAATCGAACCCATATTAAAAAAAAAAAAAAAAAAAATCATTCAAACACCCCATGATTTGCCAAAAATGCTCAAAACAGAGCACATCAAAGAAAAAACAGGGCATACAATTGTGAATTCTCATTAATCATCCAATTACATAAATTTCGTGCATTAAACCCTAGCTCAACCAAACATTAATTAAACCCACATACAATTCAATCAATTAAACACCAAAGCAGTAGTAATTAAGCAATCAAACAAAAAATCAAATTAAAAAACAATACTGTAATAATTTGAGGAATTAATTACCCTTGAGATCTCCTCCTACTAGTAATAATGTTGATGCTTTCAACCACGAAAATCAGCAAAATTCCAATTATCAACCTTCATAAAAAGTAATCAAATCTGTTAATTTAATGAATATAAATTAAATCGATGGTAATTAAGAAATGAGCATTAAAAAATTAAAGTAAAAAAAAATTACCAAAGAGAAGTCTCGTAAAAACTAGAGAGAAAGTGGAGAATCAATTTTGCGAGAGAAGAGGGGAGTTGATGAGCAAGTTTATTCAGCGCGCCAAAGAGTTGTATTTATTTATTTTTAATTTGGATAGTAATGGGGAGCTATTTATTTTGGTAAAAAAATAAAATGGGAGAAGTGAAGTGGGGTAGGGAGTAGCCAATACAGACACGAATACGAAAATGGGGGGAGAAGTGAGGGGGGAGGTGATCCGAGAAGGGCGAGGTTGATTGTAATCGATACAGATAGACTCTGATGCGAATATGGTTGTGAAGTTAGGATATATATAACAAAATTTTTTATCATTGAATTAATTGATATGAAGAGTAACTGCGAGAACGTTTTACTTTGTTCTTCAATAATGTTGTGATAATTTTGAAGAAATCTTTCTTTTCTATAAATGTTGATATCTTTCTTTTTTTATTATTTTATTTTCAGCGCTTTCATTTAAATATTACATTTTATAATTGAAATAATGAAATCACATTTGATACAGTTTATTGGAAAAATTCACATTATAGGATACGATGTGTATTATGTGCAATCTCTTTAACATTATATTGATTTTATTTCCACAATTTTTTTTTATACTTCTCCGTTTCTTATTATATGCAATAAAGAAATATTTTATGTCTTATAAATAATATTTTTTATTTTACACATAAATAAGTTACGGAGGTAGTATGTTGTCAACCACACCATTAGTTGAGACTTGAAAGTAATTGTTAGTCTTGGCCTCTTGGGTTGTCATTAGTAATGCATTTAACTATTGTATAATTGGGCCTTGCACTAAGCCAATATAGCATTAAATTCTTCATCAACTTAGTTGACACATTTTTAGCACATAACTTAACTAGAACCTAAAATTGACTTAGCCCAAATTTGTCTTAAGCTTGAAATTAAATAACCCGTATGAACCTACCTAAACATGAATCAACTCATAAAACAACGTCATAAGGATATACAACCTGACATGACCTATCTAAACTTAATATGAATCAAACTCGACTACACTAAAAGGTTACATTAACATAAGACCCATTCCAAACTGGACTCGACTTGTAATAATCCAACGAATCTCGACCCAAACATGAAACACTTGAACTAATATCTCCACTTTATATATATATATATATATATATATATATATATATATATATATATATATATATATATATATATATTGTGTTTCACCCGATTCACCTATGGGTTAATCCGGATTTGGGATCAGTTTTGGGTGGTTACTGGTTAGATTCTAGTCCCCTCCCAATTATTGTTGCGGGGGATCGAACACAGGTGTAATCTCAATTACCACTACACCAATATCCAATCTATATCTATATATATTAAAAGTTTAAAACCCATGGCAAGAATTGTAATCATGTCACATGTCATGATTCTTGCCATATGTCGTCGTAACTTGATAAATGATGTGGGATCATGTGACTCATGTCCTATTAAAATCGATCATCAATGTTTCCTCATAAAAAAAATTATGTTCATAAATTCTAAATTTTTAATTCAACTTATATATAATCTGATGCGGTTCCAAGGCATCAATATTGTTATTATAATTATTTTTATTGTTATTTCTAGTTTATTATTAGATGACCGAATTTATCAGGATATTTTTGTTAGTTTAATTCGGTTAGTATAAGATAAGCTTAACTTTAAAGATCATATTTGCAAAATATTATCTTTACAAGTTAGAGTTAGTTTCCTAGTTAGATTAGAATTTGTTTTACCGATTTTAGGCTAATTATTTAGCTTATAAATACGTGATGATGTTTAACGAAAAGTATGATTGATTGATTTGAATTTTATAAAGTTTTACGTAAGCTTGTGCTTGTGTATTCTTGGCCTAGTTTAGGTTTTAAGCTCGTGTTGCTTAGCGTTTCTTGACCGAGACTCAAGATTCCAAACCTTTCAACTGCGATTGAAGGTTATATCCATGAAAATTCATATCAAATTGGTGTGGCTGCTGTTTGACGAGGGACGAGTTTGACAATTTGTGTCAAAAAACTCAGTTTCGAATGTCATATTGATCGACTTGGTTCTCCTTTGTTTCTAAAGATTTTGAGGTGATTCTTTTTTTTCAAATTGGTTAATTTTTTGTTTAGTTTTCACCTGCAAAATTTGAGAATTTTTCGAGAAGCATAGCTAATAAACTGGGTTCGTTCTTTACACCTGGTCAAAAATCAAATTAATCTGCCATTGTTGAGAAAAAAATAAACTGCGATTACTTGGCTGGGAATTTTTTTCTTCATTTTTGGTCGAGTATTTTAGACAAGGCTAGCAGTATACAAAATTTCAGAATTTTTCGAGGTGTTTTCATTGGATTTTGGTCCTCGTACTTTCGATCAATTTCTGGACTGGTTTTGTGTGTTTTCTCATCCACATAAACATGGAAAATAAAAGTTGGTTTGAAGCATTTATGATGGAAATCAAGAAAATGAATGAATGTTTGGATAGAATTGATGCTCGTTTTCAAATTCGTGACGTGAGATGTGGTGTACAAGATATGTCTTATGAGAAAGAGAAACTAGAGCAATCAATTGTTGAGGTTATATACGAGGAAAAGATTGTATCTTTACCGAGTGATAATCTTACAAATCCAATTTTAGAGCAATCTCATGAACAACTAGTAGAAGAAAAAGAAATTATGGAGCACAAAAGTGTATATTTGTCTAGTTTTGTTGACGAGGAGGTTACATTTGAACTATCTAAGTTGGTAGCAAAAAGTCAAATTTCTACAACTTCCTTTTATGGTGATAATTGGGATACAAATATTTTCACGTATTATTTCCATTATATTGATTGCATTGACAAAGGTGTGTCATCAATTAAAATTTTGGAGCATTCAATTGAAGTTTGTGGTGCATTCATTGGTGTAAAATATAAGCATGACGTGGTTGGATGGAGACATATTCTTTTAGCTCATGTTCGATTAATTTGGATGATATCTTGGTTCCATGATTTGCTAAAACTTGGGACAAGTTTTTTTCAAGAGGGGGAGTATGATGCGGTTCCAAGGCATCAATATTGTTATTATAATTATTTTTATTGTTATTTTTAGTTTATTATTAGATGACCGAATTTATTAGGATATTTTTGTTAGTTTAATTTGGTTAGTATAAGATAAGCTTAACTTTAAAGATCATATTTGCAAAATATTATCTTTACAAGTTAGAGTTAGTTTCCTAGTTAGATTAGAATTTGTTTTACCGATTTTTAGGCTAATTATTTAGCTTATAAATACGTGATGGTGTTTAACGAAAAGTATGATTGATTGATTTGAAATTTATAAAGTTTTACGTAAGCTTGTGCTTGTGTATTCTTGGCCTAGTTTAGGTTTTAAGCTCGTGTTACTTAGCGTTTCTTGACCGAGACTCAAGATTCCAAACCTTTCAACTGCGATTGAAGGTTATATCCATCAAAATTCATATCATAATCTCATTCTTTCGTTTACTCATCCATAATTCATATAGGTTATATGTACTATGTATTTAAAATATGTAACAAAAAAATATATAGCAATTTTAAAACCACAACATGTGTTTACTTTGAAGAAATTTATGATGGTAGATAAAGATTCCTGTAACAAATAAAACAAACTAATATGAAGTATAAAAGTTAGGTTATTGTATATTTCATAATGAATTTTGAAAAATTCAATAATATTTTATTAAATTATAAAACCACCAATATATTTCACTTTAATTTATTATAATTTTTTATATATAAAAAATAATCCGGGGCATCGCCCGGACCTAAAACTAGTTGGTACTAATATCTCTACTATGTGGTTGCAAACTTACAACTCCTAAGGGATGCGCATGCAGCAGCTAGCTTAACCATGCATCATTGTGAATTGTTCTTGTTTTAAAGACTTTTACGCCTCTTAAATATATGAAAAGACACAAGTCCTTTAGTTTCCCCTTGCAATTAGCTAGAAGTAGAAGAGTCTTATTTATTTAAATTTAATATCAAAGTTGAATCTTGTACAAGTTTTAAAATTAGATTAATTCCTCTCATCTCTTACAAAATCTAATCTTCTTCTTCTCCCTCCACCTCGTGTTGGCCGGAGACTCTTAGATGTGCCATTCTCGTGTGGTCATTCAACAACAACGACACAACGTCCTTAACAAATTTCTGAATTGAATAAGCAAAGCTATACAAGGGTACGTACATTTGTACTTATAAATAAAATTTCATATATAAAGTCCATAGGAATTAGGACATGTCTTTAAGATCGTGAAAAATCAAAATGCAGCCTTGTACCTTACCTATCTTAACATATAGATCGATATAACACATAATTAAGTTTTACTCGTCCGTGTAAAGGTATGTAACTATTTCAATTCTAATTAGCTTTTACTTTTAATTTCTTCTTTACTACGGTTTATTAGTACATTACTGTTTTAAAGGCATAATATAATGTTCTTTAGCTTTTTCTTTTTTGATGATGACATAAACTTTTCTTTGTAAAAACATAAAACTTGACCAAGAGTTTACTCCCATTATAGTCAACCTAGTACGGACATAACACATAACATTATTTTTACCAAATAGTATGTACTAGTTCCTTACTTTACTTTGTTACGAAGCTAGATCGTTGTTTCTTCACATTTGAGGTTTTCGAAAAGTTATTTATTTGTTACATTATTGTGGGGTTAATTAGTTGATTGTGTTTCATAACATACATTGTTCTTCTAAGCAGCAAAACTCCTTCTAAACATGACAATGGCGAAGTCTACAAGCGAAAAGAAAGTGGAGGCGGCGAGAATAAACAGCTTGCTAAATATTGTGTTTTCTTGGTCTTTACAAGACGTTCTCAACAAAAAGCTTTACAAAAATAAGGTATTATTCGTACTTCATAACTTCTTCCTTAGTAATATGCTTTGCAAAAATATACATATACAGACGCGTTCATTATATGAATTAAATTTATGAACATAGTAATTTCAATTGGACTAGACTGCTAGTGGTGAGCAGTGTTACAACAATAAGGTGAACACGCGGTTGTTGTAGTTAGATAGCATCAATATTCTGTAAGACTTTTGATTATAATTTTTCGCCTTCATTATTCAACTAGTCTTTCACTTGCTAGCAAGGTTTAATTTTTGCCAGAGTTCAAAACAAAGTTTCTAATTTAGCATATTAACCATTAGATTTTCTTGTGATGTATAATTAGGAGATATTCTTTTGTGGTTACTCTGTAGTCTTAGCATAACTCACTTTCGTGTTCGTGCTAAGCAGGTAAAGAAGATACCAGACATGTTCTCTACCACTGCGCATTACTTAAGCTCATTCCATTATCCACTCATGGAGGAGATTCGCGCTGAGTTTTTTGCTGGTGTGGAATCTGTGGCTCAATCCCCTGCATGTGAGATATCGAACATCAGACTTCTAAGAATTATAAGCCCCCTAAGAGCTTATACTATGATATTATGACGAATGAGATAAAAGATGTAGAGAATAGTGGTGGACAGTATGTGCTGCAATCCGGTGATCTTGTTGCTTTAACGAATGTAAGGCCTCAGTCCATGGAAGATCTGATCAGACCGCCTGATAATGTGTTTCTGTTTGCCTATGTTGAAACA